ATTTTAATTTTGTTCTAATGTTGCACTGGACAAAGAGACAAACTTTTAGGTGTTATCTTCATAGCCCAATTAAATTTTTTAAATTCATCATTAAAATGAAAAATGATCTTTATTGGTATTTGATTTATAAATCTTAACACAAGTAATAATATTAACAGAGACTAAGTTTAGATCATAAAACCCGTTCTTACATGCAGCATCTTTATCTTCCTCGAGAGAAATTATTAATCTTACCTTAGCAAAGGAGGGATTACCAGCTGAAAAGGTAGGTCTATTTTGTCTTACAGAAATAATTTTACAAACCTAAAATGTGATTGTAGCCCTGTGTTAAAGATCATATGACTAAATACACTTACCTGTTTTTAGATGGAGCAATGAAGAGAAAGCCACGATGCTAAGACAAATTGTGGTCAAACCCCGGAGACAAGCTTTTTGGGGGGCCGGTTACCCATTTCATCCTCACTCTTCCTCTTGCCTTTCTGCGAAGGAGGAAGTTTTTTTAGAAGCTGCAGAATATGGCAATATCCCTGAAGTGAGGCGGATATTGGAAGAGCTGCCAGAGCTCAATGTTAACTGTGTCAACTACATGGGACAGAATGCACTGCAGCTGGCTGTTGCCAATGAGCATCTTGAACTTACCAGACTTCTTCTAAAGAAGAAAGACCTCGCCAGAATAGGAGATGCTTTGCTGTTAGCCATCAGTAAAGGTTACATTCGCATAGTAGAAGCCATACTGAACCACGAGGCTTTTGCAGACAGTCAAAGGCTGACTAACAGCCCCAGCCAGGCAGAGATGCACGATGACTTTTTCTCCTATGATGAGGATGGGACGCGGTTCTCTCTTGACATCACTCCCATCATTCTGGCTTGCCAGTGCCAAGAGTATGAAATAGTGCATATACTTCTTCTTAAGGGAGCCAGGATAGAACGACCCCATGACTACTACTGTCAGTGCAAGACCTGTAGTGAGCAGCGGAGGCATGACTCTTTCAGCCATTCACAGTCCCGCATCAATGCATATAAAGGTCTAGCCAGCCCGGCATATCTCTGTCTCTCCAGTGAAGATCCTGTGATGGCAGCGCTGGAACTGAGCAATGAGCTTGCAGTTCTGGCCAACACTGAGAAAGAGTTCAAGGTACAGTAATTACAGTGTTCACTCAGGATGCGTATTGATGTTTTTGCCGGTCTGTTTATGTGCTTCACTCATTCATGACAGTGCATATGCTGCCGTTCTCTGTTACAGAATGATTATAAGAACCTGTCCATGCAGTGTAAAGACTTTGTGGTGGGGCTCCTGGATTTGTGTCGAAACACAGAGGAAGTGGAGGCTATTCTAAATGGGGACAAAGAATCATATCGTAGCTCAGACACCACCAACAGACAAAACCTGATTAGGTTAAAACTTGCAATAAAATATGAGGTTAAGAAGGTAAGCACATGAGCACTCTATAGCTTTTTTTTTTTTTAAATCAATCTTACTGCCTTCATCAACCTCATGTAAAGTAATCCTTTTCTCTTCCTGTCTCTGTCTGTCTGTCTTTGTCTTGCATGAACACACACATGCACACACATGCGAACAACACATACCTTTAAACTCAAATGAGGCAGTTTGTGGCACATCCAAACTGCCAACAGCAACTCCTTTCCATCTGGTATGAAAACCTATCTCGACTCCACCAGCAAACAACAGCAGTTAAGATTCTTCTTGTTCTCGGTGTAGCTCTTGGGTTGCCTATACTGGCTTTTATTTACTGGATAGCACCATCAAGTAAGGTTAGTTTACAAAAAAAGTTGCACATAACCTAATAACCTGCCATACAAATGTTGCATTATGCCTGCTGAACTTTAAATTGCCAAATTCTGGTAACACTAAATTAACAAAGCTGTAATGTAGGATTGCGCTGACTTTTTTAGTTTCCTATGAAGTTTTCTCATCATCAATGTTTCAGTTTTTATGACTGGCTTAAGCACTGCCATGTATTTTTTGATGTATAAGATATATCACTGAAATATGTCAAAAATATGTGATTTTAGGTTTTGTTCTGTTTGTTGTCTCTCGCTTCAGTTTGGGAAACTTATGGGCGGCCCTTTCCTGAAGTTTGTGGCGCATGCAGCTTCCTTCATGATATTTCTTTGCCTACTGGTCCTGAATGCAGCAGACCGCTTTGAGGGAACTTCACTGCTGCCCAACATGACCATCCATGATTACCCTTCACAGCTTTTTCGTATGAAGACCACGCCCTTCACCTGGATGGAAATTCTCATCATATCTTGGGTCATAGGTCATAAGCGTAAACACACTTTGTCCCTCACCAATATACTTATGGATTTCTCGTTATTTTAGTCAGGGTCCTCTTATTATTACACTGCTGTGCATGTCAGGGTAAGAACATCAAAATCATTCAAGATTTATTAATCTTCACACATCTGCTATGATACAAATTGCCCACATTCACCAAGAAAATCTCAAACTACAGACCAGACGTTGAAGCAATGTCAAACATGATTTAACAGCAATAAAAATTCCTATGTGATGTAAATACTATCCAAATCTTATTAATAATGTTTGTACATGATAAGATTTTATTACACTATTTCATATAAGAGAGCAAAAATGGGACTGCCAATCACTTTTTTTTTTCTCCACAGGGAAGATCTGGGAAGAATGTAACAACATTTGGTCCCAGGACATCCGGGAGTACATATCAGAACCCTGGAACCTTCTAGACTTTAGCATCCTCACCATTTTTATGACGTCTTTCACTGCCAGATTAATGGCTTTTTGGCATGCATACTCAGCCCAGTGTTATATTGACAAGCACCACACTAGCCTGTCCAACATGACGTTACCCTTTGAAATACAGTATTTCCAGCTTGGTAAGTGTAGACCAAAAAATTTCAAGTGTTGTTGGTATTATGGGTAAGGATTCAATATTTGTTTACATTGTTAAAATAAAAAGTTGCTGGTCTTAGATTTTAATTTTGTTCTAATGTTGCACTGGACAAAGAGACAAACTTTTAGGTGTTATCTTCATAGCCCAATTAAATTTTTTAAATTCATCATTAAATTGAAAAATGATCTTTATTGGTATTTGATTTATAAATCTTAACACAAGTAATAATATTAACAGAGACAAAGTTTAGATCATAAAACCTGTTCTTACATGCAGCATCTCTCTCTCTCTCTCTCTTTTTTCCTAGCTCGAATCCACTGGATGCCCTCAGACCCGCAGCTTATTTCCGAAGGCCTTTACGCAATTGCCGTTGTGCTTAGTTTCTCCCGCATTGCGTACATCCTGCCCGCCAACGAGCGCTTCGGGCCTTTGCAGATCTCTCTGGGAAGGACGGTGAAAGACATATTTAAATTCATGGTGGTGTTCGTAACAGTGTTTGTGGCTTTCATGGTAGGAATGTTCAATCTGTACTCATACTACCTTGGAGCCAAGCACAACGATGCCTTTACGACGTAAGTGTCAAACTACTTCAAAAACGCAGTTTTTAGAAATATATGATCAAATGTTTCCTTTACACACAAAACGTGTCTAATAAATATGGCACAATGGTTGAACTGTACTAAATTCTGATTTCTGTATTACTTCCAGGCTTGAAGAGAGTTTTAAAACATTATTTTGGGCCATCTTTGGGCTGTCAGAAGTGAAATCAGTGGTGATTGACATCAACCATAAGTTCATTGAGAATGTAGGCTACGTTCTGTACGGGGTGTACAACATCATCATGGTGGTCGTCTTGCTGAATATGCTCATTGCTATGTTTAACAGCTCTTTCCAAGAAATTGAGGTACAACTTCATCACTGATATTTCTAATTTAGAACTGATTTGACTGGTACTGTATCTTAAGCCCGATTGCCAAATTTATCAGCGTTTTAAATTTCCATCATTTTTGTTTTTGTTTTTTTTTTTTGCTGCAGGATGATGCAGATGTCGAGTGGAAATTTGCAAGAGCTAAACTCTGGTTCTCTTACTTTGACCATAGTGGCACACTGCCTGTGCCTTTCAATCTTGTGCCCAGCCCAAAATCAGTATCTTGTCTATTGCTGAGTATAAAGGATTTCATCTGGAATGTACCTCCCGACAGACACAAAAAAAAACCACGCAATGAGATGGAGCTTAACAATGTGAGGCACCACCAGTGTCGTTTGATGAAACAACATTTTAATCAAGGAAGTTTTGCAAACAAATTTTGTTGAATGTACTAGTTGGAATATATATTCTTTTGTCACATTAATAGGTACAGGTTGGGGTTGTAAGTACCTATGTTAACACCTTCTTCTTTTGGTTGTTTTTGTCTTAGTTAAGACGACAGGACGACCTGGCTGGGGAAACATCTCTTTGTCCAACCCATCATCAAGTAAAGCTTTTTAAATCTCTAATAACTGCTTAATAAAGGAGCTTTCAGTAAATTGTCTTTCCTGATAAAAGTTTTGCATACATAAACAAGTGCACATAAAAAGTGCAAAGTTTGTAATTGATTTTGGTGTCATCTATGGAATCATACCTATGAAACAGTATAAGGCATAAAATAAATTCGCTGTATATACACATAAGCAACCATAACATGTCAGTCCAAATAGTCCAAATTGTGTCTTGTGTGAGGGAAATAATTGGCAGAGCAGAATAAAACTATAATCATGACTTTGTTACTTTATTACAGAAAATAATGAATTGTCTCATTAAAAGATACATCTTAAAAGCACAGAGGGATAAAGATAACAATGAAGTGAATGAAGGTAAGTTCTTCTGGGCTACATTTCACGCCAGGATCACATAAAAAACACAATTTTATCCTTTTCACTTGCTGTTCCTCAGGTGAACTGAAAGAGATCAAACATGACATCTCAAGTCTTCGCTTTGAGCTCCTGGAAAGGGAGAAGCACGATAAGAAGACACTAACAGAGCTCATGAGGCAGCTGGAAGAAGTAATGCATGAGAAGCAGAAAGAAGAGCAGAAGCATACACTGGATATGGTTTCTTAAAAACAATAAAGATTAGAAATGTATTTACTGGACACACTCCATCGTTCTCATTAATGAGGGATTCAGTCAAGGCCGAATGTTTCTGTGACACAGACTTAACACACAACTTTCAGACACAACTTAGCTGATAAAACTACATATTTTGTATTCATTATAAAAAAAAAATTCCTCCATTTTCTCCATTGTGTAAACTTATTAATTTGTTTGTCCTTTGATTTTTTTTTCCGTGCCTGTGTCTGAACAGTTTGCTTATTTCTACAATAAAGGAACTGTAATGTAACTTTTCCTGTTGTTTTGACTAGGCTACAGTTCTGAGTTGACTGCTGTCATGTGCATGATTTGTTTTGGAGGTAATTCATCTGGTGCTGAAAACCAGAAAGCGGTTCAGATAAAACAGAAAGATATGTTTGATTGTCTCAGTCGCAACACTCAATTAAGCTTCTCTCTGACAACTGCGCTCAGTGTAGCAGGAGGAAAGTAGTTACTTTTTCTTTAATGTAACTTCAGTTAATCAACACAACTCCAGGCTTGATGTTCAAAACTGTATACACTTTTTTTCCCTTAAATGTTGTTCTTTGTCAAAATATGAATTACCCGAGTATAATGTTTATTTAATGTTATTAAAGTTACTGCGGGTTATCTTCATCCCATGAGAGAGTATGCGTTTTTAAAATCATTGCACCACATGCTGTTGTGCTCTCTCATGCTTGGTGTTAGGCAAAATATCTGAGAACAGTGTGACCTGTCATGTAGACATCCAGCTCGCCTCCATATAGCGAGGCAGAAAGACTAAAAGCTACAACCAGGCTTTAACTGTCAAGCCTGTGAATAATGCAGCTGTGAAGCATTTACACCAAGGGCAGACATGGCTGTTATAAAACAGCGAAACTGATAAAAAATTACCACCAGAAGAATCTATAACATTAACATCCCGAGGAAATTTACCCATGTGTCTGAAATATTCAAAATTTGATTAAACCAGACGATTTTTGGAAGCCTGTTGGTGGTCAATGGGAGCTGTATTTAAAGTTTAAAAACTTGTGAGAAAACTAGGCCATTGCAGCACATTAACGAACACATTATGGAGATATGAAGAACAATTACAGCATGAGAATTGTTTCTGATGTTGTCAAGAACATGACGCAGGAGATAGGGGCCAAGGTCTTTGTGTGAATCATAACGACATGCATCAGCAACATTCACATTTCCTTTAAAAATAAAACCCTCTATAATATCTAACAAGGTCAAGGCTAAAGATAAAACAAAAAAAGTCATTCAAAGTAAAGGGCAATTTTATAATACATTAGCCATTAGATGGCCACAATATGGGTGATAGTCTTCACTTTATCAAAGTCTTTTTATATATTCATCTGTCTACAGTAAAATGATGATGCTTAAACGCAGGGTTAGTTTCCGAGCACTATGAAATCTATTAAATATGAAAAAGGAAACATTAATTTAAAGTTATAAAAAATATTCCTTTGAAGAAAACTAATAAAACAGACAAAAGTAAGAACAAAATATTTGTGATTTAGCAGAAATCACAAGGGTGATGTTGGAAATGATCATCCATTATGCGAGTTACTGTTTTTTTTTTTTTTTTTTTCATCTTTCCGATGGCGATAAGAGTTTATAGTACTTTCTCCTTTGGTAATAATGCCTTCCCCATATTTATCTTAATTCATGAACTGTAGGGCGGAGACAAAAGACCATTGGCATTGAAGTGATACACTGTTGATTCTCCTCTTTGGTCTATTGTTTAAGTCTGGTGTGAGCGCAGTGCAACCACATAAATGTCTTGTCTTGGATTCTTCCCCTGGCAAACTTTGGAGGACGGTTATAGTCAGAATGAGGAATACTACGAATATGTGAAACAGGAATAAAAACAATCGATGTGACTTTTAAAGATGACTACTACCAGCACAAGGTTATGCTTATAAATCTGCCGAGATTATCGACTGGGGATCGTGGTTGCGCTCTCATCAACATTGGCCAAAACTTCGTTTTATTGTTTTTCGTTATACAAACAAGTGAAAAAATATAGATATATATTAAGGGAATAGACCTTATGTGAAAGAAAGACAAGTGACTGCCTTTTTCCACGGGGAGGAGGACTACAGGAAGGTTACCAAATCACAGCTTATCATACACCTTCCAACCTCCGAGCGCTCTCCACTCTCAGTTGTGCGCTTAGAGGTTCACAAGATGGAGAATAAAACAAACGGGAAGATGGGCACCAACAGTACTTCGGTCGCTGATTCCACTGAAACAAGCCTAAGTGACGTGATTGAAGCTGGATACAGTAGGTCGAATACAAAATTGCCGGCCGATTCACGGTTTCTTAATTGCATGTCCTCTGTGCGTAATTTTGGAAACGTTAACACACTGATCCAAGGTCTTAATTCAAGCCCCGACTGCGCAGTTTTTAAAGACTGTAACACAGTCGATCCTTCACTTGGAGCAAAACATTTTTATGACCGTAACAGAGACTATCTTAAATGTGATGGTGTTCCGTGGGAGGATTTTGTTAAACTTCAGAGGACAAACGTGGCCGCATCCGAAAGTTTACCAGGCGCAAGTCTCCCCTCTACCTCCGGGGCTTGCAAGTTCATCAAAGATGAAAAGGAGCCTTCTGTGATTATGGACATCCCCTGTCACAACTTTGATCCATCACCCGAGATTTCCGCTCTCGATACCTGTTCTGACACCGACAGGAAGCAGCACTTTGGGTTTAGTGAAGGTGAATCGACAAGTTTCGCATCAGCCGCTGCAGTTTCCCGACCGGGGCTGGAGGTCTCTCCAAACTTTCTTATGGACTTGAACCAGTCAGACCAACTTGTTAACCCAGTAAGGGCTGATTCCAGATGTGGTTTGTCCGGGAAAGCTACCACTAGCTTCGATCCCAACGCGCAAACAGCTGGGCAACTGCCGATATATAAGACTGATGTTCTTCGTTGGCAGATGCAAGCATCTCCAGGTGAGACCCAGTATTGGGGACAGTCGGCGGGGGTAAACCAGGACCCATTCAGAACTAGTGGCTACAATGTGATGCAGAACCAGACTCTTCCTCAGAGGAACCCATCTGCTTTCTCCACATTCCCCGGGTAACTACTACTCAGCGTGATAACTGCCGACAGAATCTTAATCATATTAATCATAACAGTGTCGCAAAACTATTAACACAGTTTGGATAGGTGTGAATGTCGGCACGTGTAATTCGAGGATCAAAGAGTAGCCTAATTAATTACACAACTGCTTTATCATTTTACAACGACTAACGGTTTTCTAGGTATTTCTGAATGTAACAAAAAATATTTTTTATCTAATGCGGAGTCCACAGCGCTTAGTAAGTCTGAATATTTTTTTCTCTTCACATATATTTACTTTCCCCCCCAGTATGCCACCCCAGAGACTGTGTATGATCTGTAGTGATGAGGCATCTGGCTGCCACTATGGAGTCTTAACGTGTGGGAGCTGTAAAGTATTTTTTAAAAGAGCGGTTGAAGGTGAGCAAAGAA